CAGCCCAGAGGTTGTTTCAGGGTTCGATCTGTGAGTTACCCATTCCCTGACTTAGATCAGCCCAGAGGTTGTTTCAGGGTTTGATCTGTGAGTTAGCCATTCCCTGACTTAGATCAGCCCAGAGGTTGTTTCAGGGTTCGATCTGTGAGTTAGCCATTCCCTGACTAAGATCAGCCCAGAGGTTGTTTCAGGGTTTGATATGTGAGTTAGCCATGCACTGAAGTAGTTCAGCCCAGACATTGCTTAGTTATAAAATACAAAGGATTTGGTTTTCACCAACCTGTTCAAGATCAGTCAATTTTTCATTTTCCTTCCTGTTCAAGTCCATGTACTGCATGTAGTTTTTTCTTTCCTCCACTTGGTTTTGAAGCTCCTCTTTCCTTCGCTTCAGTTCTTCCAAAGCTGCTTCTCGTTCTTCTTTGGACAAAACCCTTGAGGCAGACTAATAAGCAGAAAAAAAATTACTGATTTTAACCCTTTCATTACTAAAAGGGTCCAAAACAGGCTCTTCCTGGAACATAATTAGGGTGCTATTTATTTCTCAATATCAAAATGAAAAACGAAAAAAAAAAATACATGTCCTAGGGGACAGTTAATTGAAAAGCTTTTATTTCTCGCACCCTAGACAATGCGTAGTCCAGGAATCTTGGGGCAAGCAAGAACATTAAATGTTTAACTTTCCACCAAATTAACAGCAGGAGGGGGGTGGGGGGAGGGCATTTATGTCCAATTGGATACCAGTATTTATTCAACTACACAGTTATCAACTTACTTTAATACGGCCAAACTCGGCACCCTCAAGGATTATGGAACGGCCAGAAGGATCTTCTTGGGGTACCCTAGGAACACAAGCAACAAAATGTCAAAAAGATAAAATAGGATTTCCACAGAGTGGCTCTTCATCCAATGAAATTCCAGCTGAAATTTATAAGTTGTTTTTTGCAGAGGGAGGAAAATGGGAACCCAGAGAAAACCTTCAATGCAGCACCGAGCCGGGCAGTACTTAAAGTAGTATAGGGAATGGGGGTTCTAGCGCAGTGACCACACGAGGATTTCCCGTTTAAAGTCACTAACCCGTGTTTGCGTAGCCCTCATTCCCTATGAGACCCCCAGGATTACCCGTGGGGGTAACAGCGCACTCGAAATATGTTAGTTTACGCCAGGATTACCCGTGAGGACAACAGCGCACTCGAAATATGTTACTTTACGCCAGGATTACCCGTATAGGGAATGGGGGTTCCAGCGCAATCTCAACACGGGCAAGATCCGTATCAAAAATCCACCTACGGACGACCCCCACTCCAAGTGTGGTTTAGAAGAGTGTATCGTTTGTCCGCGCCTCGACAACCATGTTTCGACTACCTTTTTTTGTGTACCAAAAGATTCCTATTGTGGTTTTTGCATAGTGTATCGTTTGTCCGCGCCTCGACTGCCTTTTTTGTGTTCCAAAAGATGTACATTGCTACCCCAAAAGATGTGCATTGCTGCCCCAAAAGATGTCGATCCATGTTCCAAAAGAGCGTCTACCGTCGTAGGGCTATGCGCAATGGTGCTGCTACGTAGCCTGGAATTCGAATGTTGCCTATTGTTTCCTGCGCTCTATACAAACCTCCTAGGACGTCCAAAAGGATTTCTATCGTGC